ATCCTATCAAGAATAAATATTGTTTACTTTCCATGTTTTTAAGCAGCAAGTTATCAGCTATAATGACATGATTTAGTTTGCCTCAGAGAAACCCAAAGCTCCAGAGTGGATAAGAGCAGGTATTTTTCATGACATGTTTCATTTGCTCCTTTCATCTCGCTGAGACCCCTGAGGGAGAACACTGGAGCACTGTGTGTGTGTGTGCTACCGGCCTTTGCTACTGGATCCCCAGATCCTAAGTGGGAGATGACAACATGGAGTGGAGGTATAACAGGGTATCTGTGCTATAGTCCCCCAAAACCTGTGATATTCAACCTGTGTAACCCCCTTCTCCTTCTTCACAGCTCAAAAAAGATTTAAATGTGTTAATGAAAACATATTTCAAATATATAATGTCCTTTACACCTTTATATTGTTTACCATCATGGCCTAATTGACTAGGAATATCATGTGTATTGATGTGGAAAAATGATAAATTTTGGAATGGAGCTGTGAACGGTGCACTGTGGGAAAGTGACAGAAGCTGTTGTGAAATGACAGAATGAGATGCAGATTCTAAAGGAATTGCTTTCCAACACAAAGTCACTTCCTCACTTCAGTTTTGTGGGTGCCCCTCTAAAAGCCTAATCTACGTTTAAAGGAATAGTTCACCGTTTTTACATACTGACATATGTTCTTACCTTACCTTAGACTAGTTAATACGTACCTGTCTGGTCTTAGTCCGTGCGCTCTGTCATGCAAACGGAGCAAAAAAAAAGGGAGCACAAATGCAGCCTCCTCCACTAACTTCTCTCCGTACTACAAGTCACGCTGCTTCTATTGACGGAAGTGAGCGAGAGAGAAGTCTCCGGAGAGAAGTTAGTGCGCGGACGTAGCGCACCTCAGATTACTACGCCTCACAATATAGTACCCGTTTTATCCGCTGAGAAAATCGACTGTTACAATTCTGTGTTACTATACTTTGCAGTGTAACACTTCACGTAACTATATACATTTAATAGGGAACACTTGGAAGAGTTTGGTAGCTTCTAGCGGGAGCTACCTTTTGGTGCTACAAAATATACAGAGGAGGCTGCGGTTGTGCTCCCGTTTTTGCTCCGTTTGCATGACAGAGCGCACGGACTAAGACCAGACAGATACGTATTAACTAGTCTAAGGTAAGGTAAGAACATATGTCAGTATGTAAAAACGGTGAACTATTCCTTTAAAGGTGCATTGCGTAAGTGGCAGAGTTTTTGCATTAGTTTGCCCCCTTTTGGCGTTTTATGTAACTGCATCCAATGCCGTGCACGCGCCCTGTATGCTCTCGACGACTTTATGCTCTCGACGTGAAGACTCATCTGGTTCTCAAATTCTCACTTCACATCACATTTCTAGTTACATCATGTTTTCTCAGGTAAGAAAACGAATTATTTGGCATTATATTTGTTTGACTAATTGTATTAGTCCTTTTTGACTGAAGAAATTTGGCTAGCTAGAAATCGGTGAAAGTTCGATTATTTGTGTGTAAGAAAATTATACATTACTGCCTTTTTCAAGAACTATCTGTAATAAGTGATGAAAGCACTATTGACAGTGAGCTAGATTTGTCCAAGCCCAGTAGCTAGCTAGTTAGATCGTCCCTGTGCCACACTTGATCTTAGCCAAAAGGCCGAGAAGCTTCTGTGCGGTCTGCCCACTCTGTAACAATAAGTCTTTTACAATACATCTGGGTACTTCTTACCTGTAACTGCCATTTATGTAAACCCACATTTCAGTAGTATTCCTGTATAAGTAAAACAAAGTGTATATACAGTACAACTCAATGGATTTAGATAATATTTCGATGATGAGTTATTGGTAACTCAATAACTGCATGCCTACAGTATGTGTATTTTCTTTATGTAAATACACATACACATACTGTAGGCATGTAGTTATTGAGTTACCAATGGCTCTTCATCGATATCTCACCATCGATAATAATAATAATCTAAGAGCCAATAACTTTTTACTCCATTTAGGGCTCCAGCAATGACGAGTTTGTTCCTATGGAGACAACCAGTGAGGACAGTGTTCACTTGATGGTCATAAGACTCTGGAATTGAGATTGAATGACATTGTCTGCCAGGCTTGAACTCTCTGACCCGGCTTGGATTTGCCCCTGTGTACGGGGTCTGAGGGCGCTGTAATTTGGTCTAATTGGATTTAATAGAATATCTGCCTGTTTTTGACTGCTAAACTGCATACAATATTGTCCCTCGTTACAGGAGATGTGTTCTCTCCCTATTGTGTCTTCCCTCCTCTCTTATCTCACATTCCTCGGGCCAAGGCCATCATAATAAATCTGGTCTCTACAAAAATTTCACACTCTTTCAGTCTTCCAGTTTGGATCCCGCTCCCCCCGCCTCCCTCTGATCTCTCCCTCCCCTCCCCTCCTTACTGTGTTTCCGACTCACCCCCTCCCTGACCCCGCCCCCCTCTGACAGCCACATTGGACCGGCAGGCCGGAGGTGCTCATCCCGTGAAAAAAATCCGTGGTTTATACAAAGCACAATGTTTTCTATCCAACTGTCTGTTGTTACCTGAATGTTATTGCTCTCTGCTGTTTCTTGCTGCACACAGCGCCGCAAATGGCGAAGTGGCACGCTCTCTGCCAAGACAATTTCCAAGTGATAACTTTGTTACTCACGTGGCAATAAAAATGATTCTGATTCTGATTCTGATCTGACACCAGTGACTCTGGAAGTCAACCTCAAGGACAAGGACGGGGAAGGGGTAGAGGAAGAGGGAGGAAGACTGCACAGAAGACTAAACAGACAGTAAAGGGAAGAGGAAAGGGGAGGAAGACAAGTGCTAAAAAGAAGGAAGATATTCCAGCAGAGGGTGCAAGAAAAAGAAAATCAAAAGGAGTAAACATCAGTAAAGATGATGCAAAAAGAGTAGCTCTGTTGTCTGCTGCAAGGAAAAAAGAGATACAGGTTTGTCTGACGTTATCCATTTATTTTTATCTCGAAACAACATATAAAATCTGTTAGTTTCCATTTTTAGGAAGTGGTAAACGGCCTGACTGCCCTGGAGAAGGACAAAGTGATCCAGATGGTGGTTAATCATCTGCCAGGTGTGTTCCTGGATATAATGCAGTAAAGAGAAGACACTCGAAAACATCACACACAATCACCACCGGTATCCCAACCACCAACAGGACCACCATCACCACAGACAGTACAGATACACAGCATACCGTCTGTTGCGGCTTCCTGCAGACCTGAGCCGCTGAGCTCGGTCAGAGTGGGTCCTGTAATGTGATGACGCGTATTGAAGCCTATGCTAATAAATCCTTGATCCTGGTATTGCGTTTTAAAGTGATTCATTGACTTAAAAAGGTACAGCAAACAAAATATGGAAAAATGATAAACTCTTGAACTGTAACATAGAACCTGATGTGAGCAAAAGAAGAGGTATGGGGATGGCTAGTGTGACGTCACGACATCACTTCCGTGTCCAACCCGCTGTACTTAATGTAAACACAATGGTGGTAGCCAAGGAACCGGTCACTTTTTTCACGGTGACATCGTATTTTGCTGACATCCCAAAGTCAGTGAAAAAGGGTCTTAACTCCTACAACTCAAACAGAGTCGTAAATGTTGGTGTGCTGGCAGGTGGAAGTGTTAAAGGGAAAGTACAGGCTTCAATGAAAAGTAAAATTTACGAGGTTGAGGTGAGGTACTGACTCTGACGGCCCAAAATTCTACAACTTTTTTATACATACAACAAATTGTTAGTCCAATGGTTTAGCTGTCCTTTACCATAAAAAGATTGAACATTTCTCATGGTTCAGATGTTACAAGTTTTTAGTACGTTAGCGTTAACTCGCTAACATAAGGCTGTCGACCACTTTACCAGTGTGACGTTAACTATTGTACTTAGCTATGTTAGAATAAGTACCTATGGTTTGTTGACAACTTACTCTGGAAAGGTACTCGCCCAATACAGATTAGACTGCTTAGGACGTTACTTAACTAGTTGTTAGCACCACCTAGTGCAAGACAAAGTGTTGCTCTCTGTCTTTTACCATTGTTAGGAGTTTTTTGTGAGAGTTAGCAAAGATGATTTTACTCAGGTACACGTTGAGGGTCAGGAAGTGAAGGCAAGTACTTGCTCTTGTGCTATCGGGAGGTCCAAGTGCCACCATGTTGCAGCTCTCCTCATTTGGACTGAGAAGAACTTTACTCGCACAGATGTCGAGTGTATGTGGAAGAGGCCCACGACACCCAAAACAGAGGAAATCACATCAAAGAAAGTGTCTGTGATTGCACCTTCCACATCACAAGGTTAGTACTTCGAGTAACTAGGAGATATCAGTCATGCTTTCTGTTTTGTTATAATTGAAAAACCATGACCCTATGTTTTCTTTCCATACTAAAATCTAAACCTGGGTTTAAGGTGTTGGAAATGAATGGTGCTACTGGGGTGGTATTCTCACTTAAATCCATATCAGTTACCATCATAACTTTTTATGCTATTATTTCAGCTGGAATTAAACGACCTGTCACCCAGGAGGACAGAGAATGGGCATTGTCATCTTTGGCACAGCTTGACCGTTTTACAGGTCTGGGTTGGATAATTGCTCCAGAATTGCCTCAGGTTTGACTTGTGTTTTGTATTTTATTGTTTCATGTCCTGCCTTATCAGAAACTTCACATGTACACCACATTAAATCAGTTACAAAGGTTGCGTTGCAGATATCCCTAGTTAGATGGTAAATTTAGTTTGACAAATGCAAACCATTGCAAATCAGACAAACATGTTCACACTTTCATTTAAATTTCATACTGAGTAAACAAACATATGTATGTCAGTGAACAATGTTGACTTGTATGGATCTAATTGTTGCTTTTTCTGATTCAATTATATCTTTTGGGACATCCCCCCATCATGACCCATCCCATCACATCAAAACTTTTGATGGGCTATTGGCCAGCTCCAGTTATGGTGATGCAGAGGACAAAGCGCTGTATATGCTTTCATCCCTTGCTGTGAGCCCACAACAGAAGGAAGCCATTGAGAGAGCCACAGTTGGGCAAACTAAGAATGCCTTATGGTAATGAGACACAAAGATCTATTGATTTCAGATGTACTAAAAGTCATTAGTGACTAGCTCTTTCTTTGTATAGCTTTTTTAAAATGCTGTGAGGTTAACTGCTGCGTGTTTATTTATAACAGGATGGCATATCGCAGGAAGAGAATAACAGCCAGCAACTTTGGTCTTGTGTTGGCAGCAGTGAAGAGGAACTCTTACCCTCCTTCATTATTCAAAACCCTGCTTGGTCATTACAATCTCAAGCAGGGAGCTCATGTAAGTGATGGACACCAAGTGATTTTAACCCTGGGGTACTGTAATAAAACATATCCTTTAGTCCTTGTTTTGGCTTTTAAAAGCTACGTTAGCTGCTGTAAAACAAACAAATACACACACGCTCACACTCACACTACCACACACACACACACTTACACTTATTTCCTTCTCTCCCTTTATAAAGCACATTGTGTATGGAATTCCCTTTCTGCCCCCAGGCTTGTGATTGGGGAATCGTGCATGAGCAAAAGGCAAAAGAAGAGTATATGAAGCGCACTGGTGTGACCTTCCAGGAGAGCGGCGTGTTTCTCTCTGACAGTGGCCTGCTTGGTGGCTCCCCAGATGGGCTAGTATCTGATGACTGCATCATTGAGGTAAAATGTCCCTATGCAGCCAGAAAGAAGACCATAATTCAGGCAGCAGAGGCAAAGGACTTTTATCTCAAACTGGATGAAGTCACTGGCCTACTGAAAATGAAACAGACCCACAACTACTGGCATCAGATTCAGGGCAACCTGTACCTGACAGGAGCTGGCACTTGTCACCTGGTGGTATGGACTCCGCTGGATCTTGTAATCCTATTCATCCAGAAAGATCCAGCTTGGGCAAACAACATTACTGTTTTAGAAACATTTTATAAGAATTTTTTCCTGCCCCATATTCTCTCCGATATTAATTGATTAACCCTGCATTCTTTACATGTTCTAAAGCAGGATTTTCATTCTGAATGTTGAAGCCTCCCCAAATTGTACTTGTTTGAGATTAATGTTTAAGATATATTAACATCTGTGCATTTGTACCAGTTGCTGCTGTTTGTTTTGTTTTATTTATTCTGAAAAAAGCAGTAACGAGGAAACCCATGTAGTCCAAATAAATTGAGTGGGAGCAACATAATCACTGTGAGGACTTGTTTTTATTAGATAGTTCAGCTGCCCTTTCATCCACGCTGTCAAATGGATATCTAAGTACTTCTCCAAATTATTCACATTTTATGGTGGATTAAACACAATTGTTTTGACAAACACCATAAAAAGTAATCTAACATTTATTGTTAAACATTTCAGTTTGTGAAAATTGATTAGCAAGGAAAAAACAACTATATTGATACATTTCTTATGGAATAAAGTTCAAAAATATATATAATCAAGGCTGATGATGGCATTGTGGCAAACAGTGAGGAAATTCATGCTATTTCACGGAGAATGGGTGTCTGTAAATTTGTGAGACACACACAAACTTTCAAAATCTTGTTGGCATGCTTTTTATACTGGTATGGAATGTAGGACAAAATGTGAAATGTTTTGAGGCGCTGAATGGAACGCTCTACATGAACTCTTGCACTGGCAATAAGTCTGTTGTAATTGTTTTCCTCCATTGTGAACTGTCCGTTGACAAGGAATGTTGGGATGTTCAGTGAAACATCTGCAGGTAAAATGTCACGAATAGTGAAACCCTTGTCAGCCATCACCATGTCACCTGCTTCTAGCTGTTGGAGTACTCCGCAGTCTGCTGTTATCGCTTTGTCTGATGTGCTTCCACCATATAGGTCACTGGCGAAGGTTGTGACTCCATTGGGGGCCACACCAATCAGAGCCTTAAGTGTGGTACATCCTTTGTAATGACTGTACAGATGACTTTGGGTGTCCAAACTTTCTGTGTTGGACACAGCTACTTCAGTACAGTCTAGCACAATGCGACAATTTGGAAACGGCTGGAAGCAATGTGGCAGGGAGGTTTGGTTCTTGAATCTGGAGGGAATTTTGTTTTCCATCATGCCTACATACAAAATGTCATACAGGGCACTGGAGATGGTGATGAAGATGTTGGTGACTGTGGCCCGGCAGCAGTTAAACCTCAGCGAAAGGTCAACAACACCACAATTTAGTCGGAGTTTCATCAAAGTCAAGAGCAACTGATCGATTAGGGGCATTTTTTGGACATTCCAATCAAAGTGATACTGGAGATCAAATTTGGAAAGAAGGGTCTCCAAAAAAAAGACTGTGGCAGCATCTGGCAAGCCAGTGTAATAGTTGACTCTGCCTGGGTGGGAGGATATTTGACTAAATGAAAACGTTTGTTTTTGTTTCTCCAATTCTTTCTTTAGTTTGTCATTTTCTTTTCTGAGCATCTCGTCGTTCTCAATTTCGAGCACCAAAACACTCGAAGTACTTGGGGTCTTTTGAGCATTGCAGAGGTGACTTGGGCCTGGTTCCGCTCTTCCTTCGTCCTCTACAGTCGCTGGGAGCATTTTCTTTTGCCGTTTGGTTGGATGTCTGATGTGAGGGAAAGCCTTTCCCTCATTCCAGGCAAACCGTGTTGGCCCGGCTGCTTTGCCATGTGGAAAATGCCATCCACAGACCCTTGAGTTGTGGTTTGGGGTGAAATCTTTACGCCTGAAAAACAGAAAAGAACATTACATAAAGAACTCAGAGGCAATAAACAAAATAGAAGTAGGTTCTGCAAGTGCAGAACCCTTATCCCTCTCATCCCCCTTCCACAAAAGCAACAACATTTGGCAACTGTATATACATAGTGACTTTAACATTGTTAATAATGGCTTTATTCTCAAAAATGACTAATCTTGTAAATACTGAATTTATTCTTCTAAATTGTCACTTAAATCTAAAACAATTACTTTAATCTTGTAGTCACTTTAATCTTGTAAAGAATTACTTTATTCTTGTAAATTACTTAATCTTGTAATTATTTTAATTCTCGTAAATTACTTTATTTTCGTAAATGAGTTTAATTTCATAAAATATGACTTTTCATAAATAACTAGCTACTTGATTCTCATAAATAACGACTTAAAACTCATAACTATATTAAACTAGTAAATGACAACTTTATTCTCGTCAATAACTTTAATCTCGTTTAGTAATGTGGCCCCACTCCATCGTAACAGCAACAGGTAACGTTATCTTGGCTAACGTTTAGCGCAAATACTGGCGCTAGCCCACACTTAAATGTATTTTTCATGATTCTAAATCCTGCTTACCGTATCAGTTTAAGCCATCTCCTCTTCTCGTTTTCGTCCAGAGGAAAGCGGTAGTAACATATCGTTTTATTTACATCATTTCTGTTATTACAAGATGGGACACAGCACTGCACCATTGTACCGCAATTTGGTTTGGACACGGAAGTGACGTTTTCGGCTACAATGACGTAGCGACTAGCCATCCCCAGCAGGCAAACAAACAAACAAACGAACGAACGGTCAACAAAAAATACGGCTGTGTGGGGGTTTGTAATGTATGGTAAGTTATTATGATGTATGGGTTGTTTTTAAGTGGGGTTTGTGTTGGGTTTGGGTTTAAGTATGAGGGTTGTGTTTTAGGGATAGATTTAATTTTTATGTATGGTATAAGTAGTAGTAATTAGTAAATTTGTTTAAGGATATTTTTGGATATTTGATGGTAATTGTATGGTTGTTTTTAGGTGTGGGGAGTTTAGATAGAGAAATGGGAGAATAAATAAAATAGTTAATAAATTTATATTTAAAGTTTAAAATTATAGTAGTGGTGTGTGTTAGGGGAAAATAGTAGGAGATATGTTAATTGTTTTGTTAAAGAGGTAGATAAATGTTGGAAGGATAAATAGATGAGGGAGTGATTAGTTATATTGGTTAAAAAAAATAATGGATTTAAATATATAAGTTATTGTGGTAGTTGAAAAGTGTGTGAAATAAGTAAGTGGAATAGTGTGCATGAGATTGGGATAATAAATAGGAAGAGTTTTGTGAGATAATTTAAATTTGGAGTTATAGTGATTAATTTATTATTGTTATGGGTGGTAAGTTTTGTTGTTATTATGTATATGTTAAATTTTTTTTTAGGGTTTGTTGTGTTATAAAAGATTTAGAATTTAGGGCATGGGAAATGGGATGAGAAAAATTGTTAATGATATTTAAATAGGTATGGAGGATTTATTTATGAGTGTTAATTTGTTATTGTGTTGGGGGATGGTAGATTAAATATGGGTAATGAGGTTGGTGTTATTAGTTTGGGTTGAATGTTATTATTTGGTTATTTTATTTTTATGATTTATGGGGGAAGGAATTTTGATTTGGAAAATTGTATGTATTGATATTTAAAGAAATGAAGTTTATGGGAGGGATATGTTTTGTGAATTTGGGAATTTAGGTAGGTTGTTGTTTTTATGAGTTGATCACTGGTTGGGTTATGGAGAAGGTGTTTTGGAAAATGATGAGGGGTTTGTATATGGGTTTGTATGGTGGTTTGAGGATTGTGGTTATAACATGGGTTGTATTAGGTTATATTAATGATGGGAAGTGTTAAGGGTGGGGTGTTGTGTTATAATGGGGGGTTTAATTTTGTTGAGATTGATGGATTATTAGGTTTGGATGATAGTAAGGTAGGGAGGTGGGTTTAATGGAATTTGGGAGTTAATGGTAATTGGGTGATGGGGGTTATATGAATGGTGTTGGTTTATAGTTGAGATGGTTGTGGGGATTGAGGTATGGTGTGGGTGTTGGGGGATGGTGGGGTTGTATTATTGTAAGGTGGTGGTGGTGAGTAGATGGTGGGGTTATTAGATATATGAGTAAAATGGGGAAAATATTTGGGAATTGAGTATGGGGGGGGATGTGATGTGGTATGAGGTGGGTGATATATTGAGGAGGTGATTTAAGGTTGATTAGGGGGGGGTAGTGAGATAAGGGGGTATGGGATGTATAAGATGTATGAATGAATATTGTTTGTAAGCAGAAGAAGGAAAGTAGTGAGTGATGGGTAATAGAATGAAAAGGATATTAATGTGATTTTGGTGAAAAAGTGTGGGGGGTGTGAGTGGAAAAGGGAAATAATGGGGGGTGGGGGGGGGGAGGTGTGAGGAGGGGTGGGGAGGTGGGTGGGATTTTGGGGTGGGTGTGGAATGAGGGGAAGAGGATGATTTTTAAATTTGTATGGTTGGATGAGTTAGGTGGATAGGGGGATTATATTTGAATTGGGATTGGAGTGGGATTGGGGATTGGGGTGGGGTTTGATATTGGATGTATATTGGATTAGATTGTGGAGGTTATGTGTGGATGTTTTGATTTTTGTTTATTGATGTTGATGTTTGTGGTTGGTGTGATTAATATGATTTGAGAATGTAAAGAAAGGGAAGAATTTTTAGTGGATGAGTATTTATTGGTGTTGTAGGTTATTGTGTGGATGTATTGGTGGAAATTGTGGGGAGAGGGTGGTTATGATGTTTAGTATGATGTAGGGGTGGGGGGGGGGATGGGTTGTATGGGGGGGAGGGGTAGGAATTTATTGAGGGGGGGGATGGGGGGCTATATTTGGTATGGGGGGGGATGAGGTAATGTGATAAGGAGTGAATATGGGGGTGGGGGGGGGGAGAAATGGTGGGGAGGGTGGATTTTAGGTTGTGTAGGGTGGGGGGTGGAGGGGTGTTGGGAAATGTGGAAGTTTGGGGAATGTGGGGGTTGATATAGGGGGGTGGGGGGAATGGGTATGTAGAGAAAAAAGATGAGGGTGTGAGGGATGGGATGAATGATGGTGATGGGAAGATGGGGATGATGAGAGGTATTAGAAAGGGGGGGTTTTTTGGGGGGTGGTAGGAAGAGGGGGGGGGGGTGTGGGGATGGGGGAGGTGTAGAAGGAATGGGATGTGTTTTGGGAGGGGATAAGGGAGAAGGGAGTGGGGTGGAGGGGGGGTTTGAGGGGGGTGAATTTGTAGAGGTTTAGAGATTGATTATGTGATGAGGTAAGATGGGGGGGGAAGGGGGGGAGGATGGGGGGAAGGAGAGAGATGTTTTTATGTTAAAGTGTATTTATTGTGTGTGATGGTTTTATGTAGTGGTGGTATATATGGGGATGGATTTGGTTTATGATGATGAATGGTAGGTATAATTGGGGGTGATGTATCGTGAAGATAGGTTAGGAAGGGGTGTGTTGGGAGGGGATATGTTTGTTTTGGGGGAAGGTTGTTTTGGGATAGAAAATTGGATATGGTGTGTTATTTGGTATTTGGTTGTTTAGGAGGAGATTGGTGAGTTTTTATTTTTTGGTTAAGGATAAGTTTTTTGGGAATGAAGGTTTTTTGTTGGGTATATGGGGATTGGATTGGGAAAGAGGGGGAATTTGAGAAAGGATTGGTGGTATGGATAGTGGTAGGGATAGGGGAGGGGAAGAGTTGGGATGGGGAAATGTTGGAAGTGTTTGATTAGTGGGTGTGGGGGTTTTGGAGGGTTATTGGGTTTGATTAATGATGTGGGATGAAGGGGAGTTGTTTGGGTGTATGATATATGTGTTATGATGGGGGATTAGGGTGTGATGTTGTTTTGGTGATGTGAGTTTTTGGGGTATTAGGTGGTATGGTTTGTGAAAAGAAGAGAGAGAAGTTTAGGTGGGTATTATGAGTGAGTGATAGGGGGGGGAATATGTTTGGAGATATTATGTGTGGTGGTTTTATGGTTTTATTAAGATTATATTATGGGTGGTAATGAGAGAATATTTGTATTTGGGATGGTTGATAATTGAATGTAGTGAATTTAAGTTTATGGTTTAGGAGTTAATGATTTTAGTTATAAATATGATGTGTTTGGGATGGGGAATAATTATATGTTTTATAATATATATAGTGAGATTTTTTGGTGGTAAGGGTATGATAAGAATTTGGGAAAATGTAATTGGTATGATTGTTAATAATAGGTGTAAAAGATGGTGATGATAAGGATGTGTTTTGTATTTAATTTTATTAATTTGTGTTATAGGTTGTTAGTAATTTAGATTGTGGGGATTTATTGGAATAGTTGGGTGATATTTATTGGTATATTATGTATTTGGGGAAATTATGTTTAGGATATAGGTAATGTGTTAATGTTTGGTTATTTGTTGGATGATTTTTTATTATTGAATTGAAAATAATGTTGAGATTTTAGTGTGTGGTATTTATGGGGGAGGATAATGTTATTTGTGTAATTTTTGTAATTGTTTGGTTGTTGGTTTGGATTGGAAAATAGAATAGATGGTTTTGATGTGATGGGTTGGGAATATTTGGGTCAGGGTGGTTGGGGGGTTTGGTGGGGGGATTATGTGGGTGAAAGGAGGTTTGTGGGATGTTGTGGTGTGGTATATGGTTATTGTGTTTTAAGTTGATTGGGAGGGTGTGGGGTTATTGGGTGTTGTGGAAATAATTTGATATTTTTGGTTATATTTATATTATGGTAGTGTGAAAGAGTTGAATAAAGGAGTAAAAGAGGGGGGTGAAATATTTAGTTTTTAGAGTTTTTTTTTTATTATATTTGTAATGATTGATGATGTATATTGTGGTGGTATGTGTTGAAGTAGGGATTATAATGTGGGTTTTTGTGTAGATAATGTATATTTGTGATAAGTGGAATTTTGAGTGAGGGTGGTGTGGTTTTAGGGGAATGTGAGATTGAAGTATGAATTAATAAGTGTGGTGGGTTATGTATTTGATGTGAAATGAATATATTTATGTTGGAGTTTGTTGGGGTTTAGGTTTATGAAAAGGGGTTTTTAAGTTAATAAGGTTAGTTTTGGTAATTAATTTTAAATATGTGGTTTAAATTGTTATTATGTTTTATAGTAATTTAAATAGGTGGATGGATGAATGTTTTAGTGTGGGTGAAATAGATTGGAATTAAAATTTGGTAGGAAGGGGGGAGGATTGAAAAGGAGGGTGGGTAGGATTGGGGTTATTTGGTGTATGATGGATTGTGGTTTGATTAAGTGGGTTAATGGAAGAAAGAGGGGAGAGGATATATGTGGGTGGGTTGGGGGGAAATAGAGGTGGGGTATGTGTATAGAAAGGTTTTTGGTGTAATGTTGGGGTAATAATGTGTGTATGAGATGGGGTGATGAGTGTGGATTTTTGTTTTATGTATTGGTTGTTTTGGTTTTTTGATTGTTTTTATTATAATTTTGAATAATGTGTTAAGGGATTATATAGGTATATAAGGATATGTATGTTTAGTAAAATTAAAGTTTATATGAGGATAGTGTATTGAATATTTTTTATTTATTAATTTGAGTTTTTAGTTAGAGTGTGGTGGGTTAAAGGGGAGTTAAGGGATGTGCTGTAATGAAATGGTAGGTGTGTTAAAGATTGGTTTGGTGTTTTATGATTAATTTTATATTAAATGAATTATAATTTGGTGATATGTTTATTTATATTTTTTTTTGTAGTGATGGTTAACAATTTAAAAGTTATGGGGAATTTGTGGTGAAAAATAAATGGGTAGATAGAATTATAAGGGAATTAGAGTGTAGGGTGATTTGTTGTTGTCATATTTGATAGGAATTTATGAGTAAATTAATGAAATTTTGAAAATATATATTAAGTGATGATTATATAAAAAAATTGTTATGTATTAGGTATACAAGTGTATAATGGAGATGGATATAATTAGTGTTGTGATAGTAGGGAATGTTAATGGTAAGAGGTGTTTAAAAATGGGAAAGAGTAATGGGAATATAATTGATTTGTGTTTTTATGGGTGTTGTATAGGAAATGATCAATATAATTATGAAAATATTATAATAATGTAAGTTGGTAGAAATGGGGTTGAAGGTAAAGTATATAGTATTGAGGTAATATATAAATTTATTTAATAAAAAAAGTAAATTAATAATTTTTGGTGTAATTAAAAATTATCAAAATAGAAGGTTATAAGGGTAATTTAATTATTTTTTGGTATTATTTTTTGGTTAATAAATATATTTTGTGACAGTGTTAGTTTAAAAAGTTAGAGTTTTTACATACAAGTAATTATATGGGAAAATATATTTTGGAGGATATAGTGATGAAAAGAAGGACTTAAAAGTTTGGTATTTGGATTTGGGGGATTGAATTTGTAGAAAATAAGTTGGATAAGGAAGTTTGTAAATGTTATAGTGGGATGATAGGATGGGGGTTTTGATAATTATGGGTTTATTTTGGAGAAAATTGAGTAATTGTTTTGAATGAATTGAGGATTGGGAGTCTAGGTAGGGATGGTAAGTTTTGGAGAAAGATAATTGATTTGTATAGTTGAGTATTTAGGGGGGAAGTGTTAGTAGGGATGGGTGTAAGGTAATGGTGGAAAAAGAGTGGGGTGTTTGGTTATTTTTGTTTGAAAGGGTGAGATTGGGTATTTGGGTGTAAATATGGATTAGTTGTTATTGATATGTTATGTTGGGTATTAGGGGTGTATTTGTTTGTGAAATGAAGTTTTTATATGTGGTATTAAGTAAAGTATGGAGGGGGGGTTTGGAATGAGATGTGATTGTTTTAGGTAGAAAGTTATAGGATTAATAATGAGAAAAGTAAAAAAAATTATAGAGAGGTGATGAATAATAAGAGATGAAAAGATAAAATTTTTTGGTTGTGTGTTATATAGATTAAAATTATTAGAGGGAGGTGGAATTAGAGTAGAATATAATAATAATAATTAGGTGGTGGGAGGGTATTGGGTATGATGATATATATATAATATTAATCAAAAGGAGAGGAGGAAATGGGGTGATAGATAGAGTATATAATATAACAAAAGTAGGAGATGTTAAGATGTGTATTATTGATAATAATAATTTATGGTGATGTGAAATGAGGTGGGATGATATTATCAGAAATGGGTTGCGGGTTGTGATAGTGGTTAGAGGGTGGTTTAGAAGTGGTAAGGATGTAATATATAATTATATTATTTGTAATTAAATATAATGTAGGGATGTTATGTAATATTGGGTGGTAAAGGATGGGAGAGGGTAATGTTATATGTATGTAACAATTATTATATAGTATAGGATAGTAGGTTGGTAAGGGGTTGTTAGAATAATTGTACATTTAGAATAAGGTAGATATAAATTTTGGTAAATTGATATAGGGGGGGGATAAGGTGAATGTAGAATGAAAGTAGGTTTAGAAATTTGTGAAGAAATGGTATGGGATTGGGGGAGTGTTGGATAAGTTTAAGTTAGGTATAAGGGTGGTAAAGAAATTTTATGATGTTCTGGGTATTTATAGGTATATAGGAGATGTTATGTTATAAAAATGTATGGTTTTTTAATTATAAGGTAGATATTAGTTATGGGGTGGTTAATACGTAAGGGTTTATAAGGTATGAAGGTTATTATGTAATTATTATTTGAAATTGGTAAAAGTAGGGTGAAAGATAAGTAAGGAGATGCTTTGTTTGAGAAAGGGATATTGTTGTGTTTGGATGGTTTTGTTTTGTGGGTTTATAAAATTGGGGGTTTATTTAGTAATTTAGATGTGGTATGGTTATATTTTTTGTTTGTAATTATATTTGGGTTTGGAAAGGATTAAATGAAGGGGTTGGGTTTGGGGGTGGGAAAATATTGGTTTGGGTATTGGGGTATGTTGTATGGATGACTTAAATTTTTTGAGGTGTATGTTAATGGATTAAAGGTAGTATTTATTTGGTGGTTTTGTTTGTGATGGTGGGGGGGGGGGGAGGGAAGGGTATGTTTATGGTTTTTATATTAGTTGGGGTGGATGGGGTTTGAGGGTAATGGGTGGAATATATTTGATGAATGGTAAGGATATAAGGGGATTATATAGCACATAGGGTTGGTTGATGGGAAGAGTGGTGATTGAGGTATGTATGATGATTTGTGGTGGGGGTGATGTTGATATAGTTTTATGGTTGGTTAGGATGATGAATGGGAAGAAATGTTATGTATAATTTGTTAATGTTAGAGAGTTAGGAATTGTTGTGAGA